TTCTCTCTCTCATTCCCTCTCTCTCATTCTCTCTCTCTCTCCCTCACCCTCTCCCTCTCTCCCTCCCTCCCTCATTGTTCTAGAAAACTACTTTTGTACCCTCTATGGTTTTAAATCCATTATCACTCAACAATCTTTGGTGATCTTCCTAGTCAAAGACTTTTGAAACTCAAAACAGACCATTCTGGCAGAAGCCAGGCCAAGGCATGGACCTTTCCAGCACCTTGATGTGCCCTGCCCCACCCCCAGACCGTCATGGAAGCCACGCCTAACCCTGGACAGAGGGAACCTTGGTGAGCCTACCCAGCCCTCCTTCACACTGTCCCAGGAGACTTGCTGACCCATGCCCCAGCCCCTACCATCATTGCTGAGCACAGATGAACATTAGGAGCTTCAAAAATGTCAAACCAAAGGAGCAGAAGAAAATATTAGACCTCCAGCCAACCCAGAACAAGTCCAGGACACGTGGACATAGAAGAACATGGAAATCACACATTTGAAATTTCTGAAATAATAGCAACTAAAGAAAAGAAACAGCTCCATCAGGCAATAAAAGAAATCAGATAGAAATATCAGATAAAAAGAGAAATGGCAACAATCATGAAAGAATTTCTGAGCACATCTAAAGGCATAGGAAAAAAATAGATGAGAATAGAAAAATGATGGAAACACTAAATGAACAACACAGAAAAGAATTAAAATGCATGAAACAGATTCAAACAGATATCCAGGACATTAAGAATTCCATTGGGATCAGGGAGATGGCTCAGTAGAATAAGCACTTGCCTGGCAAGCACAAGAGCCTGAGTTCAATCCCTGGTTCTGAAAAAAAAAAAATTCCATTGAAAGATGGAAAAACCACCTGAATGAAACTGAAGATAGAATTTCAGACCTTGAAGACGGCACTGAAGCTAGTGATTGAAAATGAAAAGTTCTTCGAAAAATAAGGAGGAGTCAGGAAATAACAAATCAACAGCTACAAGATGATGTAAAAAAGAAAAAAATGTACAAGACTGGTAGGTGTCAATGACACAGCCAAGGCAACACAAATGACATAAAAAGATTATTTGCAGAAGCAGTAGCAGAAAATTTCCCAAACATAGAAAAAGAATCTGACGTACATGTAAGTGAGTCATACAGAATTCAAATTAGCCACAATCAAAATAAATCTACATCTAGATACATAACAATCAAGATACCAGAAATTCAGCACAAGAACCACATATTAAAATCAGTGAGAAAAGACATAGAACACCTAGAATGGAAAGCCCATCAGTATCACAGCAGATTTACCAACACAGACCATCAAATCAAGAAAAGCAGGGGGTGGGGAAGATGGCTCAGTGGAATAAGTGCTTTCCTGGCAAGCTCAAGGGCCTGAATTCAATCCCTGGTTCCACAAAAAAAAAAAATCAAGAAAAGTTTGGAGTGACTTATTTCAGGTCCTGAAAGAAAATAATTTCCAAGCCATATTGATGTACTTTTAAAAACTATACATCAAATTCAATGGCAAGATAAGATTCTTCCATGACAAGAACAAATGAAAAAAATTCATGACCACCAAACCAAGCCTACAAAGAGTACAGACAGATATTCTAGAAAGAGACAGAAACAACCACAGCTTCAAGAAAAACAACAGAAAGGAACCACCAAATAGAGCAAGTATTTAGAAAGAGGGGTAAAGTAGAGAACCTATTGCAGAATAATAACATGACAAAAGTAAGCCAACACATATCAGTTATGACTATCAATGTAAATGGCTTCAATTCACCAATCAAAGGAAATAGGCTGGTAGAGTGGATTTAGAAACAAAATCCAACAATATGCTGCATACAAGAAACACACTTAACTCAAAAGGAAATTCACAGTCTGAAAGTCAAAGGTTAGAAAACAATACTCCATGTAACAGGAACCCAGAAAAAAGCAGGGGTAGCTGTTCTGGTTGGTGACAATGCCAACTTCAAACCAAAAATGATTCTAAGAGATAAAGAACATCACTCTATATTTGATAGAGGAAAACTACAAGAGGAAGAGATGACAATCATAAATATATGCACCCAGTGTAGCAGCACCCAGCTACATAAGACAAATTTTAACAGACAAGAAAAATGAAATGAGCAATAGAACTACTGTAAAGGGAGTCTTTAACATCCCATTGTCACAAAGAGATAGATCAGCTGGGCAAAAATCAGCAAATAGATAAGAGAACTAAAACAAACTTGTAGAGAAATGGACTTAGTACACCTTTACAGTGTTCTACACAGCACCATCAGAATACACATTCTTCCCAGCTGCACATGGGACGTTCTCCAACATACACAATTTGTGCGCACACAGAGCATGCTCAGGTAAGTGCAAAGGAATTTAAATTATCCCATACATATTATCTGACCAGAGTGCAATTAAACTGGAAATTATTGACAAAAGAAATTGCAAAAATTCAATAGATAAATGGAAATTAAATAACACCCTCCTGAGCAATTAATGGGTTACAGTCGATATTAAATAAAAAAATTGTCTAATATCTATAATCAAGGAAAAATGCAGATGCAACTTACTGGAACATGTGGGGATACAAGAAAGCTGTCTTAGGAAGGAAATTTATGGCAGTAAATTCTCACATCAGGAAAATAGACTGAAGGCCCAAATGAATGATCTTATGCTGCATGTCAAACTCCTAGAAGAAGAAAAGCAACTCAAGCCCAAAGGTCAAAGAAGGCAGAAAATTATAAAGATGAGAGCAGAAATCAATGCAATGGAGTTGAACTGAACAATACAAAGAATTAATGAATCAAAGAGTTGGTTCTTTGAAAGAATGAATAGAACTGATAAGCCTCAAGCCAACCTTATCAAAAAAAGAAAGAAAAAATTCAAATTCATGCAGTGAGGAATGAAAAGGGTGAAATCACTACAGACCCCATAGAAAATCAGGAGATCATCAGTACCTATTTTGAAAATCTTTACTTGCACAGGATGGAAAATACAAAAAAAAAAATGGGCAGTTTCCTAGATACATATGAATTGCCAAAGCTTAATCAAGAAACTATAAAAATTCTGAATCACCAGTGCTCACTTTGGCAGCACACACACTAAAATTCTCAATAACCCAATATCAGCCAATGAAATTGAAAAAGTAATCAAATACCTACCAACAAAGAAAAGCTCAGGTCCTGGTGGACTCATAGCTGAATACTACAGGAAATTTAGAGAAGAATTAATGTCAACGTTTCTCAAACTCTTCAATGAAATTGAAAGTGAAGCAATTCGCCCAAATTCATTCCTGGAGGCAAGTATTATTCTGATATCAAAATTAGAGAAAGATCCAACCAAAAGAGAACCATAGGCCAATCTGCCTAATGAACATAGATGAAAAAATATTCTATAAAATGCAAGCTAACAATGCAGCAAATCATCCAGAAGATTATATATCATGACCAAGTGGGATTCAACCTAGGAATAGAGAGATGGCTCACTACACAATAAATGTAATACATCACATAAATAGAGCCAAAGACAAAAATCACATGATCAGCTCTATAGATGCAGCAAAAGCTTGTGACAAATCCCAACATTTATTCACGATAAAAACCTTACAGAAAATCAGAATAGATGGTCTTTATCTCCAGCTGATAAAAGCCATCTACGACAAACCAGCAGACAACATTCTACGAAGTGTACAAAAACTGAAAGCTTTCACTTAAAAGTCAGAAACAAGACATGGATGTCCACTGTCATCATTCCTAGCCATAGCAGTTAGATAAGAGAGAGAAATAAAAGAAGTAAGAATTGGAAAGAAATGAAATGAACATTATTTGTAGATGACATGATAGTTTACATAGAAGACCCCCAAAACTTCGGTCTTGTAGCTTTAATAACCAAATTCTGTAGCATAGCAGGACACAAAGTCAATACTTAAAAATCATAGCACTGGGGCCGGGGAGATGGCTCAGTGGAATAAGAGCTTCCCTGGCAAGCTCAAGGGATTGAATTCAATCCCTGGTTCTGCAAAAAAACAAAGACCAAAAAACAAAACAAACAAACAAACAAAAAATAGCACTTCTGTACACAAATGACACTGAGAGAAATTAGATAAACCACACCTTTCACAATAGCATCCAAAAAAATGAAATACTTAGGAATCAATCTCACAGAGAAAGTAAAAGCTTTATACAGCAAAAATTATAGTACTCTGAAAAAGATTGAAGAGGATCTCAGAAAATGGATATTCTTTGCTCCTGGATAGGAAGAAAAACATTGTGAAAATGGCCATACTCCCAAAATTGTTATAGTCAATGCAATCCCAGTTAAAATACCATCATTGTACCTCACAGATCTAGAGAAACCACTGTTAACATTCATCTAGAACCAGAAGAGACCTAGAACAGCAAAAGCAATTCTGGGCAACAAAGAAAAGACAGGAAGCATCATAATCCCTGATTTGAAATTATACTACATCTCTAAATTCTCCCTCTTCAATTGGGATACTAGTTCTTGCCTTATGGGTCCATTGGAAAACTTCTGTAATCCTAATTTCAATTTATTTTAAATAAATTGAACATTTGTTTTGTATATGATTATACTATTGTTTGCTTAATAAATCCTGTAATAATAATTTTTAAAAAGCTATTTTAACCTCTTTTAAAACTCTTTAAGCTAGAACCTTTTCAGAGCCTATTTAGAAGTCAAATTAAAGGTGGATTCTTCTTTTGGGCTCACACTTGCCAATCTCACAGCAGCAATACTTAGGTAATGTAATATTAAAGAGAACAGAAAGGCAGTAAAATCTCCAGAAATTAAAATTTCACAGTATGAGCCTTTTATTTTACTATTATCATGTGGATTAAATAGTGCCTGAGCTGAGCTGAGTGTCAACTGTCCCAGGCCTGTGAGGTCACAGCTGAGGTCATAGAGCACTGAGACAGAAAGGTGACTTGGGGGTTTGGGACAACTGTGATCCAGGCTCAATGAGGGACAAGTCTTAGAGGGTCAGGGCTGGCCACAAGGTGACTTGGGTACCCCTGCCGGGTAAGCTGACTTCTGCCACTCAGCCCTTCCCCACTTCTAGATTCCAATCAGGAACCAAGCCGTCTCGTATCTGGGTCATGTTGTGGAGTCCAGAGGGGATCTATCTTCAGTTCAGCATGTGTCACGTTGGTACTCAGAGTCCAGGAGCCTCTGGTCTATTCTCTCTCTCTCTCTCTCTCTCTCTCTCTCTCTCTCTCTCTCTCTCTCTCTGTATTAAGAGCTATTAAGGAGGGCTGGAGAGATGGCTCAGTGGTCTAAAGCACCTACTTGGAACAAGCTTGTCAAAGCACAGGGACCACGGTTCGATCCTCCAGCACCACATGCCGGCCGCGCCCCCTGGTGGGCTGAGCTGCCCCCCCACACACACACACACTAAATGTTAAAATAAAAAAAAAAAAAGATTCAAAAAAAAAAAGAGCTATTAAGGAGATTTTACTTAGGACAAACTTTCTTACCCCCACCTTTCTTTACACACACACACACACACACACACACACACACACACACACTGACCCATTTAAAACGCAGCCGCTTTCTGAACTGCAGAGCTGCAGAGCCCAGGGCAGGCGTGCCCGCCCTGTGAGTGCTTTCTTCTCACCGCGCACCTGTCCCCTCCCGTCTGTGCCTCCCCAGGACCTGGAGCTATTTCCACCTTCAGTTCCAGGGTCCTCGGCTTCGCGCAAGAGCAAATGGAGCAGCACCCTCTGCAGGACCAAGAGCAGAAGGAGGCCAGCATGGTGGCCAAGCCGCAGAGAAAGTGAGTGGGGCTACCGGTGCCCCGCTAGAAAGCTTTCTGTGTGTAGGAGAGCTGCTCCTCCCTCCCTTCCTCTGGCTGCATTCGTTTCCTGGGCGCGGACTGTGCAAGCTTCCATGTTTCCTCCGTATTTCTTTTTCTTTTCTCTTTTTTTTTTTTTTGCCATAAATTTATTGATAAACAAATAGCAATGAGACAGTTTCAAATCAAATCGCTAGGACAGTTTCAATAATTAACACACTGCATACATTCTTAGTGGTTAATTGCTGTACAAGATGCGGACTCACATCCTATTTACAAACACCATTAGAACAAATCATTCTATTCATTACCAGAATGTAACTATATATCCATCCCAACCACCCTGAATACACAGATACAAAATGGACATTCATCTGTATCCCCTTTTCCTCCGTATTTCCTGAGTGCAGTGGGGGAACAGCAAGTCTGTCACTGTGACTTGGAGCCCAGGCACCGGTTACACTTCCTCTAGGAGACAGTGACGGATACATCCTAGGAACATTTATTCCTTTGAGGACAATTTCCCTAAAGTCCTCTAAAATGTGAATCAAAACCATGCCTCACTGAGTCAGGGTTGGAAAAGAGCGAGAAACAATTGCTTGAGTCTACTTACGAGACCCAGAAATATTAGCCATTAAGTTGGGAAAAGAGGATTTCTGCGGGTTTACAGGTCAGGAAATCTTCAGAATCTAATGGGAGCTGGAATTAAGCCTTTGAAGCAGGCAAGGGTGTCTTGAGGTACGAGGTTTAGGGACGGAGAGAATTGAAAGTGCCGTCTAAGTTTCTCGGCTGCCTCTTATCACGTAAAGGCCCAGAATGGTCAGCTAGGCCTTGAGCCTAAGAACCGGAGTTGAGAAGCCTGAAGCTTGGAGAACAACGGGAACCTGCTGTAGGAAATAAATTGTCTTCCAGACAGCTGCAGCACTCTGAAGGCAAATAGTAAATGCCAGAATCATAGTTCTATTTGAAAAGGCCCGCGGGCGGCGCCACAGCCCCGCTTCTGCGCTGATGAGCAGATGGTTTTTACAGCATCAGTGGGAAAGGCTGCACAAATAACGCTAAAGCCAATAATGCTCAAAGCGAACTTAGTTATGAAAGCTTTCATACAGTCTTCCTCTGAAAGCTTTGGGATAAAGATTATTCCCGTTTTAAAGAAAAGGAAACAGATTCACACAGGCAGAGAGACTTGCTGGGAGTCCCAGAGCTGGAACGCCTGGAGGCCAGAAACCAAGCCTCTCTGTCCCTAAGACTTCACATTCTTACAAACAGGCAGCCTTCCAGTAATTCGGTTATAACATAACTGGGGCACAACAATGTGTTCTTTTTTAGAGCAGTAAAAATAGGATGGAATCAATCACAGCTGAAGTGGAACACAAACTTTCCTATTGCTGTTACTGAGCACAGCGCAGCTTTGGTTTGCGGTCGCCTGCACCTCTGCCACAGGCCACTGGCAGAGCTATGTGGGGGTCCACACCCCTCCCACAGCACCTAGCCTGTGAAGGCCCATGGTCTTCTGCCCCAATTTGGGGAAAATCACGAGAACTCTATTGTGAAATCTTTCTCTCCTCCCTCCTCCTTTCCTCCTCTTTCTGCATCCCTCCTCCTCTTATTCCTCTTCTGTTTCCTTCCTTCCTAGCGCACCCGCGCGCACACACACACAGGTGCCTATGTAACCTGTTTTAATTCTTCCCCTTCCTGCTAGTTTTTCCCCTAACCAGTATGCAGCTACTCTGTGTCCCAGGCGACTCTGGCATTGGTTCTAGTAGTATTTGGAAGTAAGAGCTTCAGTTGTACTCCCTAGAATAAGCAGAATCTTTCAGTGCCTCCTCAGAATTCCATTCCCATCCCATGAGGTCATGAAGGAACATGAGAGCACTTTGTGGGACCAAAAAAGGAAGCGGTTTGGTAACTAGATATGCTATACCTTCACAACAGAAGCCAGGGCAGTTTGACAGGCCAGAGAGAGTGAGAGGTGGGAAGCAGAGGCAACTAGACAGGCAAGAGAATGGTAAGGTTTTTTTAAAAATAATTTTATTGAGAAACAAATAGCAATGAGACAGTTTCAAAACCAATTAATAGGACAATTTCAATAGTTAATACATTGCATATTGTTAGCTTCTTAGTGGTTATCCATATACAAGATGCTGACATGATATCCTGTCCAAACACTCTTAGTACAAATCTTTCTTCTCATTGAATTAAGAAAAAGTAGCTGTATATCTATCCTATTTTGTATATACGGATACAAAATGGTCATTCGTTTGTATCCCCTTCTTTTGTTTAGTTTTTGTCAGAGAAGGGTGTTCCAATGCCATTTAAATATTGTAGGTGTGTGAGAGAATGGTAAGGTTTAAATGGCAGTGATCATCACTTTCACTTCCATTTCTTTATGCTTTTGAATCCCCAAAGTTCTATCACAACAGTGAAGATCTTAGGAAAACAAGGCCACAAGTCCCAGATGGAATAGGAGGGGGGGATCCTGGCTACTTTTCCTGAAACGTTAGCACGGAAGCGTCCACAGTTCCTCCAAGGACTGTAGGATAAAGTTGGGGGAACGTTCAGCTATCTTCTCCTAAACACGTCTCTATCATCCTTTTCCCCAGCACATGTGAAGAGGCAATGATCCTGCAGGTGAGTGAGACATCCGTGGCATTCATCCCTGTGGGAGTGCAGGCTCCTGGGGACGTAGACGAGCCTGAGGGACAGGAGCCTGGAGAGGTCGTGCTTAGGCGTGTTGACCAGCTACAGTTCCGGGGCCGTTTCCACGCCAGAGGCCAGGGCCAGGAAGCTCTATGGGTATTGGTAAGGCACAGAAGCACATGGCTTCACTTGTACCTGTCACTCAAGCTGGAGGAGCACACAAGCAGGAGACACGGGCTAACGCTGACTCAGAGTGGGGCTGAAAGAGCCTTTGGCCTTGGTGAAAGTGGGGTGACTCCAAGCCTTGGCCTCCATTCCAAGATGTGGGTTTTGTTTTACCATGTCCATAAGGTGTCGAATCAGATTCTGCGAGAGTTAGTTTAACGTTCTCAGGATTTTTCTCTTTATTTCAACAGGAAAGACAAGTAACAATCACTGAAACTCTGTGGGACCAGGTGAGCAGAGAGGGATCATGTTTTATAGAATGGCGAAATGTGGAAGAAAGGAAACAGGGCTTACGAGAAGAGTAGATTCTTTTATCTTCCCTTGAGCAGCTTGCTGGCTGTTGGCGAGAGCCTGCTACCCTCCCTCCCGTCTTGCCCTCGTTCCCATTTAGCCCCGGCCTTCGGAAGCTCATGTCTCTATCTCTGCAGCTCTTTTGACCCACACCTCCCTGAGGCCATCAGGATCTTGCTTGTTTGAAGGCTGTTTAAAGAGAGTTTAAGGCCTCAGTTTTCAGTGACTGCCACAGACTTGAAAGTAAGCTTTGGTCTTTCTCAGAGATTGCAATGAGATGCTTTGATGCCCACAGTGGGGGCTGGGGGGCTTATGCATTCCTAAGCCATGCAGGCCACCTATTCACTCGCTCTGAGAAGGTTTGGATGGAAACTCAGCCTGTAGAGAACGTTCCAGGTGAACACCAGTGCTATTTTATTTTCTCTCCATTCCAGACTCTCTGAAACAAGTAAATGGAACTCCTGGGGTAAAAAAAAAAAAAAAAAACCCTTCAAAGTAAGGGCATTTTTTAGAACAAAAAGTACGGCTTGTCTGTGCAGTTAAGTGAATTTATCACTCTGGGGATGCTGATCACTTTTTACTACAAAAAAATGTGAGCAAGAAAGAGTACAGCATGAATCTGTGCTTTGGATATAAATAACTGTCCCCTTTGTGTTAAGTAAAAAGACTTTTTATTCTTCTTCAGGGATTTTTGCCTTAAGGGTTAGATGAAATCATTTAAATTGGTTTAAAGAGATCCAGTCAAAAAGTATCTTCCTACAGAGCCATTAAATCTCCTGGAAGAGGAAGGAGGAGGAACTCTTGAAGACATAGGGGTAGGCAAAGAGTTCATGAAAAAAAATCAAATCGCATGGGAAACACTTGAAAGAATTAACAACTGGGACCTACTCTTACTGAGACATTTTTGCACGTCAAAAGAAATTGCCAACAAAGTAAAAAGACAACCCACAAATTTGGAAAAAAATCATGACAAATAAGTACTCAGACAAAGGTCTGCTCTCTAGAATCTATAAAGAACTAAAAAACACGAGGGCCCAAAAATTTAAAGACCCCGTCCAGAAATGGGCTCCAAGATGAATACACACTTCTCAGAGGATGAAATTAAAGAAGTGAATAAATATATGAAAAAACGCTCCACATCACTAGCCATCCGCGAAATGCAAATTAAAACAACCTTGAGATATCATTTCACCCCAGAAAGAATGGTTATCATAAAGAAATCACCCAACAACAAATGT